AAAGTTTAAATACCTTGTCAAGATAGAGATGGCACTGTGGAAAACTTTCATTGGGTTCGCAATAATTAGGTAAACAATTAAAATTTGGTCCACTTATTTTGGCAATGTCAGAAAGAAAACTGAAATGATTATTTGAATATTAGATATTAGAGTATAGGAAAGGGAATGGAAATAAGTATTCATGGGAATTACTTTTTTAATGTTTTTGCCTGAAATTCCTTCTTTGTGTTTACAAGTATATTCATATCACTCACTGAAATATTTTTCTATAATATGTATTGATGTAAATCTATGTATGTGTAATGATGTATGATGTTTCCCTTCCTAATGATGTCGTACTTGTATGATTACGCACTTGCGTACATGTAGTTGGCAAGTGACACAGGTTGACACAAGTTAACATTAGTAGTCATTAGGGATAGATGTCTTTCTAAGCTAGGTAAGAAATTAATATGTTGATCAATATCAATTCATCTGTTTTGTTATGATGTACAAAAAGTTTATATTATTTGACTAGTGGGAAAAATGCCTTCATTTTGTTTTTAAAATCAGAATTGAAAATTATAAATTAATATATAATAATGTCAAATTTTACAGTATTAGAAAGACTGTCTCGTCATTATAATGATTAAAGGTATCTTGTCTCCTCCCTGTAGCTATGTCTCAAATATTTTCATATGCTTAAAGTGATAACACCATACATATACATTGAAACCGTACACACAGTTTAAAAATCCAGATATACATCTACATGTATGGTAAATCTGAGTGGGACCTACAGGTTATTAGAATTTAAAGGTAAACATGTATGTCGGTCATAATTTAGAGTTGTTGGAATGTCACTTTTCTTCAGTGTTGTTTTTTTTTTTTTTTTTGATTGATCATGGTCATTTACCCAATATGAGCAAGATCTTGGACCTTCAGTCTTAAATGTTCAAAACACAATTAACCACTACATAGTAACATACTACCATTATATAGCCCACATTGATCATACGAGTTATGTCATAGTCAGTACGACTTAGAACTCACAAACATGTTTAACCCCTGCCACATTCTTTTAGGCCTATCCCTATTCAGGAGCTTGTAATCCAGTTGATTGGTTGCTGTCTGCCATATTTGTTTTTCGTGTATTGTTTTGTCATATATCAGGCAATTGGTTTTCTGGTTTGAATTGTTTCACATTTTGACATTTCTGGGCTTTTTTTTCCGCTTACTACATGTATACAGTATTGGTTTTGCTCATTATTTTAAGCCCTATAATTTCTTACAGTTACATCCACATGGTTTGGTCTCGGGTAGATAGTTGTCTAATATATTGCCAATCATATACCACATCTCCTTAATTTTATATAGTGAAAGAAAAGAAAGGAAATCGTAAGGCACATGTGGTGAAAGGCTAAAACCTGTTGTTTTAGTCAGGAAACACATTGTCTATAAAACTGTAATCTAAATTTGATTAAAAACTGTAAATGAACCAGCTGTTGTCATGGTAGTATAAAATGCATTATATTCACCTTGTACAGTTTAATCTTGTGATATAATCATTCTCATCAATACTCAAGGATTTTTAGCAGATTTTTGACATTTAAAAGAGATTATGCAATAAGAAATTTATTATATTTTGGTCCTGTTTTAAAAAAAAAATTTATGTTTCTTATTTTCTTATTTTAGTTTTATTTTTTACATGTAGATTTTTTCATTTTGGGAATTAAAATAAGTGCGGAAAGGTAGTCGTTTTTTTTAATTGTGCATGGTGTTGAAATTATTCTCAATTGGATTTATTACTCTTACAAAACGCTCAGGAATGCTTCAACACCTACCTTTCATAAACCGATTTGTTTTGACTTGGTAAGTTGTATTGTTAAGATTTTAATGTACAGGTGATTTTTCTGTGTGAAAAAGGCTGCAGGTTTGGGAGGGATCAGAGTTTGAGTCTGTTTGTTGACAAGAAATTGATCAACATATATATTAGACCTAATATTTATGGTGTACAAGTTAAAAATTAAAAGATATATATAGAAGTTTATTTTATACATTGTAATTTAACAGTTATAGTGCTGGGATTGTACATACACAGTTTTATGTACATACATGAAAGTTCTTAACATGTTTTTATGTAACACATTGTTATACAATGTGTATTGCCTTTATGACTATGAAGAGGTTGGATAAGGTCCAACACATTTCTCTCTAGTCTGATTAAGATGATGTGCACATTTCACCTTTGAATAACATGATCAACCTGTCATATTAATGATGTCTTAAAGATTGATTAAAACTTTCAACTTATCTATCAACAAAATATGCTGCATGTTTGAAGCATGGGCATGTACTTTATATTGACACACTTTATAGGTTTCATAGTCCAGTCCTTTTTTGTTATCGCCAGTGTTCTCCCCAGGGCCTTTTAGCATCATGGTAATGTGATGCTATATTTCTTAAATGTGATGCTATCTGAAATGATTTTCTTCTAGATAGTGTAATGGATGCTATAATTTTTAGAAACAAGATGGTATTTCAAATTACCCTGTTTACCTTGATGCTATATGGAATATCTGGGGAGAACACTGATCGCTACTACCACACTTTATATAGTTCAGTCCTATTTTGTTATATCCTTTTTACGTGCAGATTGTTTTAGCGGTAGACCTGTTGAGGTCAATTTCTTCTCTTATGTACTTATTTTCATTCCATTGTCTATCCCCTCTAGATCTGTTTTTAGACATGGTGGCCTTGGGCTGTTTTCTGCTCTTTGTTAGGTTGTTGTCTCTTTGACACATTCCCCGTTTCCATGCTCAATTTTATGATTGACATGATAAAGTCTTGCACAATACTACATCTATTTTAAAAAAATATTGATTTTATTGTGGAACTGAAAATTATTACATTAGAATTAAGTGTTACAATTGATATGCACTTGTTTAAATATTTTCACCACCTTAGTATAATAGCAACAAGAGATTTTTTGTCTATCCAGAACAGTGGTTCATAAATTTTGAACAAGTCCTTCATACTCTAAATATATATACTTATACAATGATGTAGGTTACTTTAGTATCACATATCTCTACATATTGAGCCAACATTAAGAGTTGGAGTGTTTCCTCCTTTATACATGTACTTACATATGTACCTTTTAAAAGTTGGCACTTAACTACCTCAGGAATAGATTACCTTAGCTCTATTTGGCAAAACTTTTAGGAATTTTGGCCCTCAATGCTCTTCAACATCGTACTTTATCTGGCCTTTTTAAATTTTTTGGATTCAAGCGTCACTGATGAGTTTTTTGTGGACGAAACGCGCCTCTGGCGTATACACAAAATTTAGTCCTGGTATCTATGATGAGTTTATTTACCAAATAAATGTAACTGCTTTTCTGAAATTATGTTTATAATTAACCCAGTATGGTGAATTATTAGTTCTTGAACTTAGAAGTGGGCCATTTAATGTTCATGAACTGTTCTAGAACATAGTTCTGGAACAGTTCTTGAACAATTTTAAGAACAGTTCTTGAATTCCTCGCAGGGGCAGTATACCCACAGACTCAAAATTTTACTTGTTGTATCTAAAGTAAAACTAATGGGGAAAATAAAAAACAGGGAAAGCAATACTAAGTGAAAAGAAACTTTTTTTTGATGATTTGTGTAGGAGTATTGAGATGGTCAAAGCTAAAAAAAAATGGTCATTTTGAATTTCAAGTACAAATTGAAGGATAGTCTATTACTTTTTTTTATATATATGTAAGTACAATCATGCATACATGTAGAAAGATGTCAATTTGTCATTTGCAAATTGATAGAAAATCATTGTTGATTTGACATTAATTTTAAGGGATGGGGTTAGCAAGTAGGTTACTAGTTCTTCTGGATCCATTGAATTCTGGCCTAATTTATACATAGTTCGGCAATGAATTACAAACTGAAATATTTAAAATTCTGAATGTACATTCATTATTAAACCAGAACTAACACTTTTAAGTCACAGTGTACACAGGGTTATCTATGTTAATGTTCAACTTTAAAGGCCAGTTGTATGATAAAATCAAGGTGTGGTTGTAGATATCATGGGTACTTAGTTGGACAAAAATGTTGCTACTGTGGGTAGTAGAGTCATAGAGAAAAAATTACCAAATATTGTTAAGGTGTTGTCGATATTGTTCTATAAAGTGGAAATAAGTTATTTTTAGTTAGGATTTATAACACAATGATTATTTGAAGGAAGTGCATTTGAGGTATTTATGTTACATCATGCTCATATTGTAGTTTTTGTATTGATTTTGATTTTATTTGCATGTAGGGATGATTTAATAAATATTTTTTTGGTAAAAACAAAAACAATATAAAATCAGTGTAAATTTTAATCTTGAAACCTATAAATGATTCTTGTTGATGCATGTTAAAAAATTGAAAAAAAGTATCCTCCTATTGAAGAAATTTTTGCATAGTAAGTTATAAGCTAATTTTTATGCTTGTGGCATTCAGGGAAAACTGAAATTATGATTAAACATCAGGAATTTGTTTCAGAATAGATTAGGTAAAAATGTACCCTGATGATGTTACATTTTCTTTGGCAGAAAAAAGTTTACCTGTTTACTAAAAATCATGGCCACCAGCATGAGAATGTGGGAAATGTTTACAATTGTTTTTAAACTCAGTTATTTTATAAGATAGAACAATTAACATGATTAAAATAATAATTTTGCAGCATGAAAAGAAGTTCAAATTTGACAAATATAAAAAAAAAAAGAAAGAGAAAATGTTAGAAATTCTATAAAAAATTGGAAAAAAATGCTTAATGATTTTAAAAAAGTGAAAAAAAGCACAAATTTCCTTCAAGATTTTTTAAGTGATGCTATATGCATCTTTCATTTTTGCAATTATTTAAAATACTAAATTCACATCTATAAAGCAGATTGTATTATTAAAGATTGTTAAAGCATGTTCACAACATTGAGACCTCAAAGAATTTCTAACATTTTCCTCTCTTTCTCTCTTCAGGTTGACTACATTTTGGTGATTGGTTGTAGCAGTGTTATCTTTAGTTTTCGGCTGAACCTTTCTCTGTTGGAGTAGTTTTTAAGTTATCCTGACTTTCTGGAGCTTTAATCTTTGCACTTTCTATCGAAAATGAGTGTTAACGGTGATTCTCTTCCCACAAATCATGTGGAGTTGTATGTTCGAGCTGGGAAAGATGGAGAAAGTTACGGAGCTTGTCCTTTCTGTCAGAGGTTCTATATGATTCTAGATCTCAAGTCTGGAGAGTTGAATTATGACGTGATAACGATCAATATGGCTCGTCCACCTTTGGATTTTAAGAAGTTAGCTAATCGCTTGCCTGTTCTTAAGCATGGAGATGAAATCAGATCTGACAACGATGAGATTGTTCAGTACGTTGATGAAACATTCCCGTATCCATCTCTACAATACAGCAACATGCAAGCCCATTCCGTTTGTTTAGACATTTTCTCAAAGTTCTCGTATTTTATCAAGCAAGTAAGCCACTCCGCAGATCATTTACTGAAGGAACTACAAGCCATTAATGACTATCTGGAAACAGCAGATACACGCTTTCTGTGTGGAGACAAGCTTACTCATCTGGATTGCCTTATGTTGCCAAAACTTCAGCACATCAGAGTAGCTGCCAAGGCTTTCAAAGATTTTGAAATTCCTGATGATATGGTTGGATTGTGGAAGTACTTAGCTGCAGCATACAAAAACGAGACCTTCCGAAAGACGTGTCCATCAGACCAGGAAATTGTTTACCACTGGGAGTCAAAACCAGAAACTCCATCACTGTCTGAAGAAAAGATGAAGTTGTACAGCACTGATGGCTACAACAAGCCAAAATTCTCCTTTGACACTCCAATAAAATGTTAAAAAATGGGAGATAACTCTATTGTCAGTTAAGAAAATCCAAAAATAAGGAATATAACTCTGAACTGTGGAAAATTGGCAAGATTTGTTAAAGGTATTATTATATGACTTGATCAGCATTATGAGTTGTTTTATTAAGTATGTCAGAAAAATATAATGTTATATTATTATTAAGAATTCAAAGAAATTTCATTTATAAAGCAAAGACATATGTTCATACTACATACTATTAGTATTCCTCTTGTAGAAAACTTGATAAAAACAAGTCATTTACCTCCTGAATTTATTACATGAAGTGGTTGGTGTGACATTTCAATTTTATTGTACAGTTATAACATCAACACTTAAACTGAAATTCAAATTTCACACTTTTAAGAATTGTGTATATTCACACAATTATATTCTTTTGTTGAATTCATTTTGTTAAGATTTGCTTTGCAAGAACAATGGAATGTTTTTGATTAGATAAGGAATATCCTTTATTGTCAAGCCAATTTTTCGGTAGTGTCAGATTAATCTTAAGATTATTGTCATTCATCTCATATTTTTGAGCTAACAATGAAAAATTTTATTGTCACAAAATTTTGATAAAAGTTTACTAGTAATGGTCATGAACTCGAGGGCTTCCCATTCCCATCCTCTTCAGTTAATGATGTTGTCAATTGTGACATGGATACCTTAACCTTAGAGTTCCTGATTTCAAATCAAACACTGTAATAAACAAAGTTTGTAGCTTTTGAGTTTTTAGAAAAATATTGCCTTGAGCAGAGAGATAATTTTATTTTCCATTAAACATATTAGCAACAATAACGACTTAGTATATTTGAAAAATCCAATCTAGAAATCCTTTCTGAAAAAAAATTACATGTACATACAGGTAAAATAAGGAAAAATGTCTCTTATGCAGTTTTGTTACAAATATTTTTAAGAAGTGTCCTTTTCCAGATTTTTAAATGTTTAATAGATGAGACTTTAGAAATATGATTTTTATGTTGTAAAAGTGTAGTAACTCACAGTTTGTCCTAGCTAAAGTATGAAGCCATATTATGTAAATGACATACCAGTAAATAAGCTGTACTAATATGTGTATATGTAAAACAGTAATATTCTTATAAATGTTGCTTTGTCTACATATGTATCATATATATTTTTGTTGTAGTAAATAGTCATATTCAGCATTATTTTACAGTAGAACAGCATTGTACATAAAACCCACAGGCACTTGTCTCTGAATGTTTTTTTTATCTATATACAGTGTTATATTGAAGTATATGTATTTTTTTTCAGAGACAAGTGCCTGTGCTTGAACCCTTTATGTGTGTGTTGTCAACAAAAATATTGTTTTCAACACAGGGTTATCAAAATGAAAATTAGTTATATGATCTAAGGGAGATAACTTTAAATTTTCAGATTAGAATGGAAGACGTCTCTAAAAAGTTTGCTATCCCTATTTTGTTTCATAGTCCACAACAATGGGTGTTTTTCTTATTTAGCTTCTAGTAGTATGTCAAATAAGAACATTCATGGAGAAAATAAATTATTGCTTTCTAATTTTTAAATTCTTTCTAAAAATCTATAAAATTTACATTTAATGGCTCTTTGTCCAGTTTTAAATTGCTTCATTAGAACATTGACAAGTCTTAAACATATACATGCATGTGCATTTATACATTTTATTAAACTTGGGTTTAAAAGTGCACATATATGTTTTACACAAGGATTATGGTGCTATATCTTGCTATTTATACATTTGTTGTTATTATGTATTGTTGTTATTTACCTATAATTGGTGTGCTAGGTGTTTCATCATGTATTATATATATACTTTAACTCTTTATGTGCAACTTTTAGCTTTTATATACAAGTACTAATTATACAGTTTTGTCTCATTCTTATCAATATTATACATAATGAAGCTGTTTAAGAATTCCAAAGAACAATTGACTCACTCCTGACGGGAAAAGAGTTTCTAATATTTAAATGAAAACAAATTTGTGAAGTCAGTTTATGGTTGTATTGTTGGTATTGTCAATCGGTTAAGTTTAACACAATGTATTTTTTCACAATATATTTTAAGAATAGTTATAGTTGTCAAATCCCTCAATATAGTCAAATGGTACTTAGCTCATTATGGTGATTATATCTTAATGTTCTCTGCAACTTAGATTGATATTAATTTTGAAAATTCTTAAAAATTAAAAAAATTATGAAAGCACCATAATCAGTGTTTTCACTTGTTTTGATGATCACTACAACATTTCATGTGATGAAGTTTTTTCTTTATTAAAACCCTAATTATATTACCATGGTGTATTTGAACAGAGAAGATGTTGCTTTTACAATTCTAGCTACATGTACCAACTTATGGTCAAAAGATGGCTGACTTAAAGCCATTGCAAGATTTTCTGATTAGTTTCTACTGTTACAACTGTTAAAACACTGTATAGTATATGCTTGTATCATGTTTGGTTTATAGTGTGAATTTTGTTTGTTATTAATTAGGGTTTTGTTTTTGCTAGTCAGGGCTATTCCATTAAAATGTATGTGGGAGGGTAGGAAGGGAAGTTTAATTATTGAATGTGGGTCATGGGTCTTTTTTCAGTATGCATCTATTACCATTATACAAAATTATCTAAAAAATGGTTCTTGGTTTTAGGGATATTTTGAAAGTCCCTTCCTGTAACCCTCCCACATACATTTTAATGGAATAGCCCTCAGATATTTTAGATTTATGTAATATATGCTAGTCAGATATTTTAGATTTATGTAACAATTGCTAGTCAGATATATATCTTTGTTTTTAAATTATCTACCTTTACTTACATGAATTTACTTTTTTTTTATTAATTTTAGTTTGTTTAGTTACAATTTTGCCATTTTTTACTTGCCTTAGTTATGTATTTTATCTTGTTCTGTAGATATTTTTTCCTACAGGCCATTCAAAGTTCATGTTGTGTTTACATTATATGTTCACGTGTTACTATTGAATCTACATTGAGGACAGCGATTATTCCCTTTAAAAAGAAAAGGGCCTAAAAAACACAATTAGTTTGAATGGCTTATCTTATTTTATAGCCACAAAATTGACGGAATTTTTTGCTACAGAATGTGAACTTTTTTTGGCTTTACTAACACACTAACATTGAACACTTTCAATTAAGATCAGGGCTCTTTTCCCAAAAAATCTTAAGACAAAAATTCATGGTAAATTATACTGAAATGTTCAAGACTTATGAGTATTTTTTCTCAAAAGATGAGTTGTAGGAGTTTAAAATATAATTTGACCAGGTTGTAACTTGATTAGTGTCGTAACATATCTGTGTTTATATTCTAATCTATATATAGATCTGTTGTTTGCACTATGCAGATATTTGTCTTTTTAAAATTCAGGTGCTTGATTTTTGTTTTATATACAATAAAATTATACAAACTGTTGCCTTCTTTTTATTCATGTTATTGTAAAGTAAAAACATGCACTTTCCCAAAAAATGAAACACATTTATTTTTCCTCAAAGTGACAGTTAAATGTAAGCAGCATATATTTGTTTATTTCAAAAACAATTACCATTTGAGCATTCAATCTAGATATGTCATGAATTACTTTACCGATATTAGAATTCAATTCAGAAAAATATAATCGAAGAAAAGTTGTTACAGAGATATCTCATAAAGCATAGTTGTGAACTGGAAAATTAAAAGTGGACTCAAAACATATAAGAACAGGATGTGTGTACAACAAACTTTTGAAATAGTTAATTATTTTAACTGCACTAGTAATGGTACATGTTTATAACGAATTACTTATATGATTGATTGATTGTCGGTGTTTAACTCCTCTATCATCACTCTTGGGTATATTATGGGGACCAGTTTATATTGGTTGAAGAAGCCAGAGTGCCAAGAATGAACTACCTACCTTAGATAGGGAAAATGCTAGTCCCCTATAAATAAGATTGGAGACAAACACACCTGCCAACTTGCATGGTTCAAACTCACAACCACAGTGTTGAAAGGCTGTGTGATACTGCAGATGAACTACTTTGACCAGTCGACCACAAAGGCCCTTAAATTACTTATAAACTCTCATGATGGAAGTTTTATATCAAGGTCAATCTTTTTAAAACAAGTTTGTCTGACTTCTGCAATCTTCACATGAAACAAGTCAACCATAGGATTGGATGGTTTTAATATTTTCATTACCATGCACTTGATTTGAAGTTGATTCAGGACTACATACAACCTTTCTCTCTCTCTAACATGTCTACAGATGGGTTGAAAGTTTTAATCAGTTGATCATTTTAAAACAATAATTTCAAATTGTAACTTGAAAAAAAATTATTTACTAGTATTGGTATTGTGGAATGGATAAGCATATGAAGTAGATATGTATGAGATGCATGGTTGATTCATATATCTTGAAATGTATAGGTCTAAAAAATGTAAGAACTTACAGAATTGATTGTATGATTTATCTGTAACCAAGGTAATCTTGTATGCATGTATCAACACTGATACATGTACATAAGGAAAACAATAGAAAGAACAAAGACATTCCTTGAAGGTTTGATAGTAGAAAGTCACTGATTAATGTAAATATGATTACTGCAGTTTGTGACAGCTGCCTTTTAACCTGTTCTTTCCTTAGAAGGCCTCTGACTGTGTTCCTTCCTTGTTTGCACGAGGTCGTGGATTCAAATCAGGCCAGGTCAAACTAAAAACTTTAAATTGGTGTTTGCTGATTTTTTTTTTTTGTAAGAATATTATGTCTGGATATGGTTACATTTCTTCCTGCAGAGTAACCTTGTGATCAGCAGACTTGTAGCACATTTTATTATTATATCCAGAGTTTTGAGCCTTTCCAGAACAAACATCAAGTCGACCTACTTTCCAGAATGAAACCTCAAGTTGACCTACTTTCCAGAACAAACATCAAGTTGACCTACTTTCCAGAACGAACCTCAAGTTGACCTACTTTCCAGAACCTACCAGTTGTATTATTTGTTAATTTGTTCTTGTTCTGAATAAGCATGAAATATTTGCCACTGGACACAAAGCAAGCAAAAGTTAATCAATCTTGCATACTTTATGGTATCTACTTTGTAAGATATTCCGCTGTAGATGAGAACAGAATGTTGTGGTTGTTTGTTTTTCTAGGGTTGTTCATTTAACTTGGAGGTTTAAGTATTGTTCATTCCATCTGGTCACTGCAACTTAAGCATATCCACCATTCTGATTAAGATACAGATCTTGCGTCCAAGCTTTGCTTACAAGGATCTTAAAATCCTCTGTTCTACTTTCTGTTTTAAAGACTTTCAGAATCCTCTGGTTTTGTCAGATTAATACACGCCATCAAAAATTTGAAGGCTGAAATTTCATTGGCTGATTTTATAATTACCAGAACAGAAAGTAAAACGAATTGTGATCCTTGTTAGCAAAGCTTGGATAGAGGATCTGTATTTTAATCACATTGGCATATCCACATGAGCGAACCTGATTTATTGTCATATACTGATAAAATATGTAGACATGTAAACAGTAATAGCAAAGTATATAACAAATATACACAAATACTCATTGACGTTAACGTTTGCATATAAATAGATACTGTGGATTTAGTTATTTTTATAGGTAACCATTTTCAATTATGAAATTAGTGCCTAGCCTAAAGATTATTTTTGGTTATTTTTGAACTATTAAAGTCAGATTGTTTCCCTTCAGTCAAAAAAAATTTGAAAAAAAGAAATTGTTTGCCTACCTACCTAGCCTTATTTTTTTGGCAGCATGTTAGCAGAAACACACATATTTTATTAAGGCCTTAATATACAGTCTGGAGTTGAAAAGGATAAACCAATTTTATTTTATTGACCCATAAAAATCTACTTTTATGGGAAAGGAATTCAATCATTATGTATGTGACATGAATATTAACAAGGAATTTGAAAAGAAGGATAAAAAATGATTTTGAGGGATTTCTTTGGCAATGAACCCTGATCAGAATTGAGTTTTTCTCAGAAACTTCACCACATAAATGCCATTGTGCACCATTTATTCAGGTTTTTATACGGCCGCAAACAAATTTTTGTGGTCGTATATTGGTATGACGTTGGCGTCGTCGTCGTCCGGCGTCGTCGTCGTCGTCGTCGTCCGGCGTCGTCCGAAGACACATTGGTTTTCGCACTCTAACTTTAGTTTAAGTGAATGGATCTTTATGAAATTTTACCACAAGGTTCAATACCACAAAAGGAAGGTTGGGATTGATTTTGGGGGTTATGGTAATAACAGTAAAGGAATTAGGGGCCAAAAAGGGGCCAAAAATAAGCATTTTTGTAACTTCCAGACATAACTTGTGTGTTAGTGTATGGATCTCTCTGACATTGTACCACAAGGTTCCATATCACTAAAGGAATGCTGGGATTGATTTTGTGGGTAATTGCCTCCAAATTTTAGGAATTAGGGGCCAAAAAAGGGGCAAAAAACAAGCATTTTTCTAGTTTCATGACAATAACTTGTGTGTAAGTGTATGGATCTTTCTGAAATTGTACTACAAGGTTCCATATCACAAAGGGAAAGCTGGGTTTGAGTTTGGGGGTAATTGCCCTTAACGTTTAGGAATTTGGGGCCAAAAAGGGGCCAAAAAACACATTTTTTTCTAGTTTCCAGACAATAACTTGTGTTCAAGTGTATGGATCTCTCTGAAATTGTACTGCAAGGTACCATACCACAAAGGGAAGGCTGGGATTGAGTTTGGGGGTGATGAATCATAATGGGGGTTCAAAAAATTTTGGGGGGGGATTTATTTTTTTTTCCTTTTTTTTCTTTTTTTCCTTTTTTGTTTCTTTTAAAATTTTCCATTTTAAGTTGGTTATTTCTGATTTATATTTAAAATCAAATAATAATGATATGGTAGGAGATACACACCAAACAGGATGTGTAAATTATTATATAATAAGTATTGTGCAATAGCAAGAAATTTTCAATTGCACAGTATTGCACAATAGCAAGAAATCTTCAATTGCACAGTATTGCGCAATAGCAAGAAATCTTCAATTGCACAGTATTGCGCAATAGCAAGAAATATCCAATAGCACAATATTGCGCAATAGCAAGAAATTGTCAATTGTACAGTATTGCGCAATAGCAAGAAATATTTAATAGCACAGGATTGTGCAAAAGAAGATACTTCCTATAAATTGCTTATTTCTTGACCAATTTCAATGGGGTTTTATTCTTGATTTCATGGGGTTCTTTAATATGCTGAATATAACCGTGTATTTAGTTTTTGGATTTTGGGCCCCGTTTTTAAATTGGTCCACATTGAGGTCCAAAGGGTCCAAAATTAAACTTTGTTTGATTTCATCAAAAATTGAATTATTGGGGTTCTTTGATATGCCGAATCTAACTGTGTATTTAGATTCTTAAATTTTGGTTCCGTTTTCAAATTGGTCTACATTAAGGTCCAAAGGGTCCAAAATTAAACTTAGTTTGATTTTAACAAAAATTGAATTCTTAGGGTTCTTTGATATGCTGAATCTAAACATGTATTTAGATTTTTGATTATGGGCCCAGTTTTCAAGTTGGTCCAAATCGGGGTCCAAAATTAAACTTTGTTTGATTTCAACAAAAATTGAATATATGGGGTTCTTTGATATGCTGAATCTAACCATGTATTTAGATTTTTGATTTTTGGGCCCCGTTATCAACTTTGTCCACATTGAGGTCAAAAGGGTCCAAAATTAAACTTTGTTTGATTTCATCAAAAATTGAATTATTGGGGTTCTTTGATATGCCGAATCTAACCGTGTATTTAGATTCTTAATTTTTGGTTCCGTTTTCAAATTGGTCTACATTAAGGTCCAAAGGGTCCAAAATTAAACTTAGTTTGATTTTAACAAAAATTGAATTCTTAGGGTTCTTTGATATGCTGAATCTAAACATGTATTTAGATTTTTGATTATGGGCCCAGTTTTCAAGTTGGTCCAAATCGGGGTCCAAAATTAAACTGTTTGATTTCAACAAAAATTGAATATATGTGGTTCTTTGATATGCTGAATCTAACCATGTATTTAGATTTTTGATTTTTGGGCCCCGTTATCAACTTTGTCCACATTGAGGTCAAAAGGGTCCGAAATTAAACTTTGTTTGATTTCATCAAAAATTGAATTCTTGGGGTTCTTTGATATGCTGAATCTAACCATGTATTTAGATTTTGGATATTTGGACCATAATAGGTGAATGTCCAATTTAAAATTTTTAAGTTCTTAGACCACATTCAATCTGTGTTAGAAACCTATGCTGTGTCAAATATTTAATCACAATCCAAATCCAAAGCTGTATCAAGCTTGAATGTTGTGTCCATACTTCCCCGAACTGTTCAGGGTTCGACCTCTGCGGTCGTATCAAGCTGCGCCCTGCGGAGCATTTTATTTTTAATCCA